GAGTGTAAGAAACACACAATTTTCAATTCATTATATAACTTGCAAATATAAACTAAAGTACATTTTCCTAAGAATAGACACTAATACTTCTGGGGCCTTCATGTGTTATAATTCTACAGTTACTGGTTAATATAAGTTTTAAAATGAACATATAAAATAGAAGTTTGACATATAAAACAGTTTTAGAGCATATAAGCACTCAAAAGATTGAGAGGGAAAGTTACTTAGATTGACAGCCAAGTAAAGGGGAGAAGAAGAACATAGAGTTTCAGTAAATAGATAAACTTTCTTTATGTATTACCATAATTTTTTTCTTCTGTGAATCCCTTAGAGAGTTTGTATGTATACAAGATTGCTTCTTTATTTCTTGAGGTATTCTTTACATGTTGAACTTCAAAATGCATGTTTTCTACATTAGGATACATGGCATCTATATGGCATAATTCCAAGAAATGTGTGGCAAACAGTGTGAATGCCTATAATATACAATAATGAATTTTAATACTTTTTAATGGATAAGAAAATTCTATTTTAACAACTTTAACATAAAATTTAGCTCTGTTTTTCAAGTAGCTTAGCAGAAATGTAAGAATGAAACTAATAACTTTAAGTCTAACATGGTCAACTCATTTTTAAATGTTTCAAAAATTTATATTCAAGGAAGAATATGTTTATTATGTTTATATATACACAATTATGTTACATTATGGGAAAGAAAACAAATCCAAAAATGAAATCTTAAAAGAAGAGTCTAAAGATATTGAAAAGGTAAAGTTTATCAGAAATAAAGCTATTAACTTCGGTAATCATTTATTAGAGAAGTAATCCATAAACAAAATCATAATATTTCCCTCAACTTTAAAAAAAAAAGAACTACTTTAAAAGCATCTTCCCTCCATATAGTTTGTGAACAATGGAATCAATGGATGGTCTTAGGTATTTGAAATTACAAAGCTTTTAAGTGTTTTTTATTATGTTTTGTTTTTTAAAAATATACTTTATTGATTTTGTACAGAGAGGAAGGGAGAGGGATAGAGAATTAGACATATCGATGAGAAAGAAACATCCATCAGCTGCCTCCTGCACACCTCCTACTGGGGATGTGCCCGCAACTAAGGTACATGCCCCTGACTGGAATCGAATCTGGGACCCTTCAGTCTGCAGGCCGACGCTCTATCCACTGAGCCGAACAGGTTAGGGCTTAAGTGAAGTGGAGGGAGGTCTGTGGGACTGAGCTATTGATCCATGGATTGTGATGCTGTCACCAGGTAGACAGTGTCCGGATTGAGTTGAATTATCAGACACCGTGCTGGTGTCTGAGAATTCCTGTCTACACACACACACACACACACACACACACACACACACACACGTTGGAAATTGAACCCGGGCATATGCAACCCAGGCATATGCCCTGATCGGAAATCCAACTGTGACCTCCTGGTTCATAGATCAATACTCAACAACTGAGCTACATTGGCCAAGCAAAGCTTTTAAGTTTTTGAGAAAATTGTTTAGGACAATGATTCTCAAACTTTAGTAATCATCTGGGGAGCTTGTTAAAGATGCACATTCTTGGTGCTTATCCCCCTGAAATTCTCACTCAGAAGCTGTACTGAGGGGCCCCAGGAAACTGTATTTTCCCTAAGTCCTAAGTTGATTTTGATGGAGGCAATACAAGTGACTTATGGCCAGCACATGGTTTCTTACCCAGAGTTACTAAAGCAGATAGAAATTTGAATAGTTGATTATGTTTAAGACATTACCAGTGAGCAACTAAAGAGGTTTTTAGTGGAAAATTACAATATTACGACATTAAAATAAAATATTTGAGCCCAAACCGGTTTGGCTCAGTGGATAGAGCGTCGGCCTGTGGGCTGAAAGATCCCGGGTTCGATTTCGGTCAAGGGCATGTACCTGGGTTGCGGGCACATCCCCAGTAGGAGATGTGCAGGAGGCACCTGATGAATGTTTCTCTCTCATCGATGTTTCTGACTCTCTATCTCTCTCCCTTCCTCTCTGTAAAAAATCAATAAAATATATTAAAAAATAAAATAAAATGAAATAAAATATTTGACTGGCAAATGGATATCAACTGTGGAAGGGGGTGGCAAGATGTAACAAGAGTTGGAGGGGCCAGATGTAACAACTCATACTTCACCTCAACATGGGAATATCATAACATATGCCTTACACACAGGATCCCTAGAATCAGTGATCAGAAATTTCACTGAGATAGAAGGCCCCTGTACTTTTGTCAGATTTATTTCCCCCATCTGACACACAGATGTCTTACCAATAAATCTAGAGTAGTTGCTACTTCTTGCTTACTAGATCCAATTATCATAATGTAATCAATGTAATGGACCAGTGTAATATCTTGTGGCAGGTTAAAGTGATCAAAGTCCTTGCAAACTAAATTATGACAGAGTTAGAGAGCTGATATACCCCTCAAGTTGGAGGTATATTGCTGACATTGCCAGCTGAAAGCAATCTGTCTCTGGTGGTCTTGATTGACAGAAATAGAGGAAAAAACATTGGCTAGACCCATGGTCGGCAAACTGCAGCTCGCGAGCCACATGCGGCTCTTTGGCTCCTTGAGTGTGGCTCTTCCACAAAATACCACAGGTGGGCGCGCACGTACAGTGCAATTGAAACTTCGTGGCCCATGCGCAGAAGTCGGTATTTTGTGGAAAAGCCACACTCAAGGGGCCAAAGAGCCACATGTGGCTCGCGAGCCGCAGTTTGCCAATCACTGGGCTAGACCAATTAGCTGCATACCAGGTACTAGGGGATACGTTAATTTACTCAAGCAGCGAGACCTCATCTGATACAACAGCTGCAATTACAGTCACCACATGGTTAAGGTTATGATAATTCACTATCATTCTCCAAGATCCACCTGTCTCCTGCTCAGACCAAATATGTGAGTGTAATGGAGATGTGGTGGAAATCACCACCTTTGCATCTTTCACCTCTGCACCTCCTCTAATCACAGGATGGGCTGGGAACCCACTGGGCCCAGTATGAGATAGACCTGAGCTAAAACTCCATTTATCACCTGACTCTGTTTTTATAATTCAATAGACCTTTGTTCACTTGACCTAAAACTTTTATGCTTATACAGATCAAGTAAGAATTTAATAAATTTCCTATCTCTTTCACCTCTAGAGACACCACGATCAACCAGCGAATGTCACAGGTCTTCCCAAGTCAAGACTTATTCTGATTGCTGCTTTGACTCTACTGTCTGTTTTGGTAGGCACACCAACCTTACCTTTGGTGGTTGAGTGCTACCAATTGTCTCCTTCAACCCTGAGATCCAATTACTTCCTTGTATTTAGGATTCCCAGTTCAATAACTACACTTTCCACTGAAAGGACTTGCCTATAGAGAAAAGCAATCAGAGCTCTTCAAGGATGTCGGGGCTCTCCTCACAAATTTATTTCTCCCAGTCATGGTGAAAGATATGTCTTTTGGCCCTGTCTAGGGTGGGTGAGTGGGCCTTAAATAATAAATGTACAATAACATTCTTATCTCCCTAAGCCTTTGAAATACTTATTCTATGGATGGAAAGTAACCACACAGGACATCTGATCATAAATTCCTAACTGTGCAGGTCCTGGTGGGTAGTCAGACCTCTGGCCTATATTGCGTTTAGTAAAAAGGTATTAAGCCAGCAGTCAATTGTTCCTGTGCATCTAGGTTAACACACCTTTGAAATACAAAGTTATACCCCTGAAATATCAGAAGTATTAACCCTCAAGAAATCATATAATTTTAACTATTCAGTAATCCAGCCTGACCTTGCTTTTTCCCCCACCTTCATGTAATCTTCTTTATGTTCCCTCTTAATTTAAAATGCATAAAGGAAACTTTAAAACTGCTATTCCCCAGTGCATTTGAGATCTTTCTCTCCAGCACATGTCAGTTTGGCTAAAATAAACTCTTATAAAAATTCTCTACAGGTTTAGACATTTCTTATATCAAGAGCTCTACATTAAAACAAGGCAGATCCAACTAACCATGGGTGACCTTTTGGTTCATGTTTCAATCAACCAACCAAACATCCCAAGTTGCAACATTTATTAATAGGGACTCTGCCTAGCAAGTCCCTATTAATAATGATGATGATGATGATGATAGGGATGGTGACTATAGCTAACCTTCTTTACGCCCTGTTATGGACCAGGCACCAGTCTAAGCCATTTAAAAATAATAATTCATTTAAACCTACCTATGAGGTAGGTATTCCTAACCCCATTTGAAAGACAAGAAAATTGGCTCAGCCAGTGTGGTCAGTGGTTGAGCATTGACCCATGAATTCCTAGTCAGGCACATGCCGGGATGTTGGTTCAATCCCCAGTAGGGGCGTGCAGAAGACAGCCAATCTGTGATTCTCTCTCATCATTGATGTTTCTACTCTCTCTCTCTCTCTTCCTCTTTCTGAAATCAATAAAAATATATTTTAAAAAAGAATTTAGAGGCTCAATACTCCCAGCTTCATTAAAGTCTTCCCACATGTCCCCCTTCCAACTTTCAGGATCCCATTTCTTCCTTACCAATGTTCTCACTTTAATAATAAAATTGCTACCATATGGCTAAAAGTTCAACTTGCATTATAATTCAGCCAGTTACAGGATGAGATCTCGGTTGTATTTTCAGAATATCAGTCCTGAGGTGACAGGAGGTAAGAGGCACATGCCCCTTAAGGGAACAAATATAAGCTTTCAGGTCATGTATATAAAGATTTATGCAGGCATTTCAATTCCTGATTGCCTCCTTTTCTTTCCCCATTTTGTCCAAAAACATTAGGAGCAACCAGCCAATCTCATTAGACTCCTTAGTTTGCAAAAAATATTTGTAGGTATCATATATACAGTCACCCAGTTCCTTGCTTCTCATAAGTGATTAAGAGTATCCAATGGTGATATTTTGCATATTTCTATTGCCAGGATTAACAGTGCTTTCTTTACTCCTGGAAATAGAGTCATGAGTATCTTAATTAGAGTCCATTCCAGAAAACCTAGAACCAATATGTTATCCAATGTTACTTTTGACTCATCACATAACTTTAAGTATAAAATAATATTTTTCTCATTCTATATAATAAATCATTAGGAAATCTCATTTAAGGTATATTAAGGTATAATAAATCATTATGGACTCCCATCTTAGGGATGTTTTTTTGAGGTACTGTAGAAATTGAAAAATATTTTTATTCAAGTTTTTTCATATGTGAATATAATTTGAATGATGATCTAAAAGGTACTTCACAAATTAACTTAATAATAGAGCAAAACTCATAGCTTGTTTTATATAATTGATTTTTGGAAAAAACATTTTCTTTAAAGGAATGGACTGTCAGGTAAATAGATTTTCCATAAAGTGACCTCTAATGCCTGGTTCTATTTCATGCTGTGACATCACAGTCAATGCTATTACACATGAAGACAATTACTAAAATGCATTCATGTTTTGCAAGTGACTAGTTTTGACATTATTTGTGGTTTTTTATTTGCTCCTTTCCTTGTCCATATCATGACTATTGATTGTACCAACCATTCCTACTTCCATCAGAAGTAAAAAAACAAAAATATAAATGCTATAGTACTTTTCATTATCTAAAATTGTTTAAAGAGCTATTTATAGGTGCCTATAAAATCCAACCATGATAAGTAAAGGACACATCAAAAAAGGGCTCAAAACTAATATACTTAAAATAGAGAAGAATACCTTTAAGCTCAGCAGATATTCACAAACAGCATAACAAATGCCAATACCTTCTTCTGTATTAGTACCTCTGCCAAGTTCATCAATTAATATTAGTGATTTGTCATTAACATTATGGAGAATATATGCTATCTGAAAAATATAATTTTAATATTATTCATTATAACCAGTTATAACTATCATAGAAAAAATTCAGTCTATTTGTTCATCTGAAATATATTTTTATAGAGAAATTCAACTGAGCAGAAATTAACATACTGTGTTCTAAAAATCTCATGACCAATAACTCCAATAGCATAGCTTATGTGTACACAGACACAAGCATATGTGTCAAAAAGAATAAACAGACAAAAGAATAAATAACCAGCATCTAAAAAATATTGACATTTTAGATACAGTGGAACAAGCAAAGCAATGAATTATATGTTTAATAAAGCATAAAGATGGTCATTTCCTTCTCTACAAATGATTAATCAATTGTCATAAAATACTCAAAACTATATCTAAAACTAAATGTAACTTCTTAATAGCTTGTAAAGATAGAAAGCAAATTTTTGGGAAAAGCATCCAATCCAAGTCCTTTGATTCCTGGTTAAACAAATAAATTTAAAATCATGCCCAACAAAGACCAAGACTTTAATTAACAAATATGCTCCTTCTCCATTGAAGATTATTAACCTCCTTCTCAAAAAACAGAATACCACCTTTCTTATGTAATAGCACAATAGTAACCTTCATGGCCGTTTTACCTTGCTATAGTACTAAGCTTCTTGAGAGCTAGAACTATTTAAAAATATAACTTGAGCCCAGTTGGTAAGGCTCAGTAGTTGAGCATTGACCTATGAATCAGGTCACAGTTTGAACCCTGGTCAGGGCACATGCCCAGGATGTGGGCTCCACCCCCACTGTGGGGTGTGCAGGAAGCAGCCGATCAATGATTCACTCTCATCATTGTTGTTTCTATCTCTCTCTTCCTCTCTGAAATCAATAAGAATATATTTAAAAATAAATAAGAAGTGATGTATTACATTAAAAAATAAATAAATAATAAAAATGTAACTTGGAGCACCTAATACATTGCTATTATACCCCATAGATATTTAATAATTATATCTGTCTACAGAAAATTAGCCAACTGTATAGTGATTAAATAATTCCTAACTATTAAAAGTAGGCCAAGAGCTATACTGCATTCCTTTAGCCCAGTGGTTGTCAACCTTGGCTGCACATTAGAATCACCTGGGAATCTTTTTACAATGCTGATTTCTGGGCCTCAACTTCCGGAAATTCTGTTTCTTTGTTATGGGGTGGGGCCACACATTAGTAACAAAGAAACAGAATTTCTGGAGGATGAGACCCAGAAATCAGGATTTCAAAAAGATTCCCAGGTGATTCTAGTGTGCAGCCAAGGTTGAGAACCACTGCTTTAGCCCTTCAAGCCTACTTGGATAGAAATAGGTGAGAGAAACCAAGATGGCGGCATAGGTAAACACCAGAAATTGCTACCTTCCACAACAAATTCAAAAATACAACTGAAAGACAGAACGGACATCATCCAGAACCACAGAAAGGCTGGATGAGTGGAAATTCTACAACTAGAAGGAAGGAGAAAAGCATACCGAGACTCAGAGGAGGTGCGGTGCGGAAGTAAAATACAAAGGTGTGGAGGTGCATGCGGAGAGGGCTGGCAGCTGAGGACATGGTTGTCTTTTTCAATTGGGAGGGAGACTCAGGCTCTGAGCTCCAGTTCCGGGCGAATCTCTGGGGACCCAGACTCATACTGGAGAAACTGTCTGGCATCAGTTCGGAACTTCAAGCGGTGCAATGAGGCTTTTGCATATGAAAGGCCCAGCCCTTTGTAATATGAAAATTACTTAACAAACTGCAGCTGGCCCAAGGCCCCAGGGCAACTTGCATTGCTTCACAGCTGGCTTCTGCTGAGTAGCCTCAGGCAGAGGCTAGATTAGCACCTCCTTAGAGATCCAGGAGCCAGTTCTTCCACTTCAGAAACAGCTGCTTCTCACAGCCAATTGGTCTGGAAGTCAATCCCTCCCAGTATTACCTACAACAATCAAGGCTTAACTACAACAAGACTGTGCACAAAGCCCACAAGGGGGTGCACTAAGAGTGTCTACCTCAGGTAATTGGGGAGGCTGAGCCACTGGGCCTTATAGGACACTTAACACAGAAAGCCACTCTATCAACACAGTGAAGCATAAAAAATGCCGAGACAAAGAAACAGGAAATAAATGACAGAAATGGAGGAAAGCAAACTACTGGATATAGAGTTCAAAACCAAAC